TACATCAACTGCGAGACCAACGCAGCTCGAAGGACCTTCATTGCCTGAAGAGGCCGCACCGCTCGAAGGACCAGCAGCTGTCTCAAAGGAGAGGAGCAGCTGCTCCACTGATGTCCTGAACCGATCAGCGAAGTGGCGTTGAAACGGGAACAGGCCGCACGTGAGAAAAGATGGGCGCACGTCCGACTCCGAAATCGCTTGATGAGCGAATACAGCGCACGCCAAGCTTAAATTGACAGACCGCGCGTCTATGAGACATACCCCTGCCAATTTGTCTCGGATGATCCTCAGAGACGTTTTAAACCTCATTCACCATCTGATCACACGGCTGGAGGAAGTGCGATGTATTGGCTGGAGACTGGACGATCTCGCATCCAACTTCTTCACAAAGCTCCAGCCACTTGTAGCCTTTCCGAGAGCCGTGGCCGTCTAGCGTGAGTAGATAAGTGTCATTTACACCAGCAAAATTGCGCACGAAGTTATCCAGATGCTTGATGAAGGCTGGGAGAGTAGCCTTTTCCATCGAGCTGTTCTCAGTGACCTTGATAGTGGTGTCGTCCGGCATCCATCCATGTTTAGTAAACATGTGGCAGTCCGAATCGGCCTCGAGAAACACCTGATCCAGAGAATCCAGCCATTTTTGCATGATCTTCTTCCCATAAATGATGAAGAAGGGAGGGGCCACGAGGCCGTCTGCAGAAACCGTGATGAGGCGGTAATGTGTTGGCCACCGCCGTTCAGCGTGGAGGCGACAAACCCGTCGTGGTGCGTGTTCGAAGGACCAAAGACCTTAATGCGCTCTCCAAAACTGACTGTGACAGACGTCTCATCAGTGTTCCAGATGCGCCGGCCCTCTTGGAGAATACCAGGATGCTTGCGCTCGGCGCTCTCAAAAATGGAAAAGAAAGGCTCGACGTGATTTAAGCGCTCTCCCTTTAATTTTACTGCCTCTTTATTCTCCGAGTTCATGAATGTTAGATCCCGATTGCGCGCATGGAAGGCTCTAATGGAATCATTGATTGGGTGGTAGTCTGCCCACGTCCTCTCACGGCCGTCGTTCGCGACTTGTGCCATAACCTCACGCCGATGCTTGTAACCGACGGCAAATCCCATCATCGCACTAAACTTGAGCCGCTCAACTATCATGCGTTCCTATTTGGTTGTCAAAACGGTAGGAGATCCAGCTCTCTTCGACGTGTCAAGGTTTCACTGCGACGCCAGCTCTTCCCACCTTTCCTCCTTCATGATTTTGTTCAGCATGTAGACAGAGCCATTGGACAAACCCGTCATGCCGGCAATGACTGTCTGCGTCTTCCCTGCCTTGAGGTGCTCCGCCGCATGCTTCTTGGCAATCACACGTTTCTCATGCCCCGTGGCCGCCAACAGTAAGGGGCGCGTCTGCCTGCGCATCGAGGGTGGCATTGAGTCTTGCCTGGAGAGAAGTCTGGATCGAAGAGATTGTTTGGAAAGGCTGCTTGGACTGTAGTGGTAGTCAGTTTCGGATCAAGATCGCCTCTGTAGAACCGCGCAAGTGCTTTGAGCAGACCGGACAGCACCTGCAAAAGTGCGCCCGCGCTTCCCCGTCAACGCGTTCCCGCGCGCATGCACTTCGCTTTGCACTCTGACAAAGCGCGCAAAGCGTATTGGTGTTTGCACAAAATTAACCGTCTGCCCATATTTACACCAATGGGAAGGGTACCCCCTAACTTTATCTCTGCGACAAGTATCTTCGCCGTTCCGCCACTAGAATCTCTACGAAAAGTATCAACACCCGCCCTAGTTGTAATTTCAAGGGTTTCTAGAGTGTTTCGCGCAACCTTTCAGGTGCAAGCTTGGCGGTAATAAAAAAGAGGAAGGAAGTTTACGCCGTGTAAATCAGTGAATAAATGAATCAAGGGAAGAAAGAGTGGAGGCATGGAGGGAGGGAGGGACACACCCAGGAGGGAGAGTAGAGATAAAAAAAGAGACACCTATTGGAGGAGACAGTCTGCCGCCGCGATTTCATTAAATCATGTTTTTGCGCGCAATTGCGCGCAAAAACTGCCAGATAATGCTGCAAAATGAAAAAATCACCACTTCGGCCTTCTTCAGGCGACCCACCGATAATCGCGATCAACCATCGAAATCGAGATCCCCCATGCCTTCCTAGGGTCCCTGTAGCCCATCTCCATGCAGTGTCTCCCATTGTCTAAAGTCGTTTCTTCATGAAGAATCATGAAGTTTCTCAGTTTCTGCATGATTAAACAAGCAAAAAGCAAAAATGAAAAAACAACCCGAAATCGCGGGTCTGACGGACGGCAGACTCTGCCGTCCGTCCGCGGCAGCGAATAAATATCAGGGGACAGTCTCCTGCCTGTCGTCCACTGGGACCTTGCGGCAACAAGCACGGACACAGAAGAGGAGTGAGATTGAAGCGCGCGGACACTTTTGCACCCACAACCACGGACACAGAAGAGGAGTGAGATTGAGATCAGGGCTATGAAGCGCGCGGACACTTTTGCACCGCAACCGAGCACTGAGATCGGACATCCAAGCAAATTAAAAAAAAATAGAAAAGTCCGCCAGTTTTGTGTGCTGCGGTTGCATCATTACTCTCCTATACGTAGAAAGCTGCGAGCAATCGATTGAGATATTTTTTCTTTAATTTCAACCACGTCGTTCGGAGATATGGCGCACTGTCTGGCGCCGTTACGCCGCGGCGGTCCACCTTGGCCCGTGTTGGAGATGTTTTTTCAAAATCTTTTGCATGTCCCATTTTTTTGTCACTGTCCGACAACACCGGCACCCCCCCCTTTAACTTTATCTCTACGAAAAGTAAATTTATCTTCGCCGTCCCGCCACTAGAATCTCTACGAAAAGTATCAACCTGCCCTTCACCAACTGTTGACCACTTGAAACCGGGACAAAGTTGTGAAGCTTGATTAATGGTTGGTTTTTTGCACTAGATTTTAGTTGCAATTTCAAGGGTTTCTAGAGTGTTTCGCGCAACCTTGCAGGTGGAAAGCTTGGCGGCAATAAAAAAGAGGAAGGAAGTTTACGCCTTGGAAATCAGTGAATAAATGAATCAACCGAAGGAGGAGTGGAGGCATGGAGGGAGGGACACAGGAGGGAGGGAGGGAGACACACAGGAGGGAGAGTAGGAGGAGAAGGAGACAGTCTGCCGTCCGCGGCGGCGAATAAATATAAGGCTCAAGTCCGGGGTCCCTCTGACTCCCCGGGGGTATCCGCGACCCATTCTCCTCTCGCCGCTCTTATCCTCTCGAGACGATCCTTCTTGTTCACTCCCATTTACCATAACACCCGGACCCCAAACCAAATTCAAATAAGTCCCGCTTTCAAGTTATTCACTCTCCCCCTCAACCCGTATCAAGCGGGCCCGAGCTCACGACGCAGGCGCTGAACCACTTAGTGTCTCATGCCGCCACACCCGCACACCGACCTGACATTGATCTGTCCAAGATCCGGGGTTTCGTTGTCAAGTGTGTTTGACGTCAAAACTCACAAGTGCAAGAAGTGTGGACATCACTCGAACCACCACATCATTCGGAAGTGTGACAGGAATGCATGCATTCAGAAAAAGATGGTTGCATTCTGCACAGCCTGTACCCGTGCCTGCTTGCCTTGCAATAAATGCAACAAACCGTTGGACCGCACGACGTTCCCGGGATAGCTCACTCAAAACTCATGTGCTCCCCCCCAGACAGACAAGCAAAGGGCCGCCAAACGTGAAAACTAGCACGCCATCAAGTAGTGTCTGTCTTGGAAAGTGCAATCGATACCTTACCCCTCAATAAAAATCACTTTTGCCTTTCGATGATGTGCACCTTGGCCATGGGCTTGATTTGTGTACAATTCCACTGTTGTTCGACTCGACCGATTTCAGCAGACAGGGCCTCAATTTAGCAATGTCAATCGATAGAAAGATTACATCCCTAAGGCGATGAAGAAATTGCAACAATCTGTAAGCTTTAACGTGTGCCAGATGCTAGTGTGCTAGATGAGTGCACGAATCGTTCCAACCGCTGTACTCCCTACCCCCAAAGCCGCACCACACCAAACCTTGTACACAACGCGGGGATTACTCATTTGAACAAGATTTTGTCGTGTATATGCGGATGCATTCTCATCACAGCCTCACCAAACGCTTCTGACCATTCCGAATGTAATGCTGGTCGCTCGGTGTTGTTAGCTCGTGCGATTCCGTGAAGCTTCAGGAGCCATCCCAGTCGGTGCGCGATCTCGTACAGTTCCTCACATCGCTCCACTGGCTCGTATTCCCTCCACATCTCTAGATAGCACCGCCTCTCTTCTTCAGAGATGTCTTGCTCCTCGTGTATTTCTTGCAAGTCAAAGAATGGGTGTGATATTGCAGCGAATTGCCAATCAAATACAACAAGCTGTTGCGACCCGTCTCGTCCTCTCTTCATACCTAGGTTCCGACTGGCAAAATCCCCATGTGTGAGAGTAAGCGGTATGTTGTATTCCTGCAATCGTTCAATCTCTGCTTTCAGTTCCGGTGCCAATTCAGCATATAGCTCCATGAGGTATGTGTTACTTTCAATTAGATCTTCGTCCACAGTCCAAGAATCCACTGCATTGCACAGTTCTCGCGGCCCAAGAACCTGGAATCCCCCGGCTTTGAGCTTCTCTAAATGATGCAACGAGTCCAACTGAAGTCTTCCTAAAAATCTCAGGCATTCCTTCTTGGAGATGCTCTCATCACAATCTTTCAAAACATTCAACTCCCTCGAAATCACGCTTTGTAGTTCATTCGATACGGAAACCACGTCTAACGTTCGATCCGGCATCACTTTGCTAGCACATGCTGTCATATCCATCTCTCCGGATCCCGGATCCGTACCTTTAAGATAATACTTACCAATGTTTGTTTCGACCGTCAAAATGGTGCATGCGGGGTCGAATCGGTATTGCCTGAATTTACCGCCTACTTCGCCTCCATCCGATGCAATGACAGCTTTCATCCACGTTAAAGCCTTCTCATGCCAGCCATACCGAAACCGCGGCTGCCACAAAGTTGTCATGCTTGTGAGCTCTTTCTCCAGAAATTTTGTGACTCTCTTTACAATTTTCGGACCGCAGACGTCCACATCCGAGTCCGTGTCGCGAGAAAAGGAGCTATCATGCGCTCGAAGGAACTCGACATCCTGCCATTCCCAACCGCATGGCAGCTCCGGAATCTCTTGCAAGTTTTCCAACAGCAGCATTTTGGACGGTCGTATACGGCGCTCCTTCTCAACAGTCTCAGGAAAGTACGCGCAGAAATCGCCAAGCAGTTCGGCCATCACAACAAAACCCTGCACGGACTCATCTATACCAAAAATCTCTTGAACAGAAGAAGTGATGGATCGCACGTCTGAATGACAGGAGTCTTCACGGATGAAGTACGGCAAGTCCCACTCGCCACCCTCCACACGCATCAAGAAGCGTTGTTTGTCCGGTTGACATATCAAAACACGATAGATTGTTCTTCGCCAGGACATCAGCGTGCTTCTCGTCGAAAACACCACAGAGACTTTACCGCCGCAAATCCAAGCTCGTCACAGACACCGCCGTCCGAGCAAAGCAGAGTTCCGGTACATAGCTAGTGCACTCCCAATGCGTGATTGGACGTCCTCGTGGTTTTCAAATTTCAAAAGATTCATGGAATTACAGTACACGGGGGACGCGCAATAGTGCCGTTTTTGTCACTGCCACCCTCGGATTAGTGCCGCTCAAGATTGGCAGACTCGGGTCGTGCCACGTGTCACAGACGACGTCGCCACCTCCCTCTCTGGCAAGGTTGTGTGGATCTTTGGAGAGTTGGTGGATATGGAGTGCGATGTGAGCAATGCTTCATCACATTTGAGGTCTGCGAAACGAGCCTTTTTGGAAGCTAGGCATGAGAGGGAAGGTCGGAAACAACAACAGACTTTATTAACAGAGTTTTGGACGGGCAATAGTTCACCTAACTGATCACTGCCGCTCCAGAGTAGTGCTGTTTTTCTAGTATTCACGCAGGACGGCACTAATGCGTAGGGTCCACTGTATTATTGGTTTGTGGGGCCATCCTAAATACGTTACAGCGGTGGAAATTTTACGCCCAATTCAGCTCCCCTCAGAACGGACAGCTCCGGAAATCACAAAATTTTCCTGCAGCACAAAACAATATTGTGCTGCAGGAAAATTTTGTGATTCACCAGACAGAATCGTTGTGCATGTCTCTCATGGAGTCTGTAGTACAGACTCTGTACTTAGAGGGGCAGGCGTGAGGACAGTATGCAGGCTGGGACTTGAGGGTTACAGCAAGTAAGCAAAGTGCCTTATATTCGCTTCTATCCGATGCTAAGATAGTGCTGTGCTTAGAGACGAGGCCCCTGGCCTCTATTGCAAGTCAGAAAGCCGACTTGCAAGTCAGAAAGCTGACTTACAATGCTTCTGCCATGCAATTATTGTATTCTCTTATACAGTTATGAACAGTGTGGTGCAAGGAACGATGCCCGAGTTTACTGAGGGAAAGGGACTGTGCGCGACTAAGAAGGGGAGCGGCGCCGGTGACGGCGGCGCTGCCTGGGGAGCTACATCTGTGCTACGTTTGTGAGTGGCACAGGTGTGTGAGCTGTGCATGGGAATCATGACAGGGAGATCATGACAGGTGGCGCAGTACGACCGCAGAGCGACAGAAAATGGACATGGGATCATGACACTCCCCCCGTCGCTGTGTGGTCGTGCGGCGCGGGGACGGGGGGGTGGGGGCGATGATTTGAAGTTTCGCCGTGAGCTTTCGGAACGGCTCCGCTCGTAGCGGCTTCGTGAATATGTCCGCGAGCATGTCCGCACTCGGGACATGCTTCAGTACGATGTTACCCTTGCGTGCGTGAAGGAACAAGAAGTGGTGCCGGAGATCGATGAACTTGCGGCGTTTGGTCGGTCCTGTGTTTCGCGCGACGCGAATGGCCGACTGGTTATCCATGAAGAAGGGGGTGGGGTGTGGGCTGAGCATGCGGATGTCTTGGAGGGTCCGGCGAAGCCATGCAGTTTGCTGCACTGCGGCGGTGGCGCCAATGTATTCCACCTCGCACGTAGAGAGGGCCGTGATGCTCTGTTTCATAGATCCCCAGCATATCGGAGTGCCATTGTATAGGTGGACAATGCCGGATATGGGTTTCCTGTCCGTGACATCTGCCGCGTGGTCAGCGTCCGAGTATGTCGTGAGCAGGGGAGTGTTGGAGATGGGTTTGTCAGTGTCGTTTCTGACTTGGAGGGGGGTGTCGGCAGAGGGGAAGAGGAGCCCGTGCTGTGGTGTGTGGCGGAGGTACTGGAGGACGCGTTTGAGGTTATTCCAGTGCCGTGTTGTCGGGGCTTTGGTGGCGACCGACAGGCGGTTGATGACAAAGTAAATGTCTGAGCGCGTGGAGTCGGCGATGCGCAGGTCACCGAGTATCTGTTGGTACTCTTTCAGTTGGGAATGTTTGGAAAGAGGCTCACCTTGATCAGTGGGGCCATGGAGGCCTATTCCGTCGTGGTACGGTGTGGGCTTGCCATTGGCAATCTGCATCTCTGCTCTGCGCAGGATGCATGCGGTGGCGGTGGGCTGAGATATGTGCAGCGCGCCGTTGGCGATACGCTGTACAGTCCATCCGAGGAGCGTGCAAGGCTCACCGAGGCGCTTTATGGTGTACGTTGTTGTCAGGAGGTTTGCGAATTCGTCGAGCAGCGCTTGTGTGGTCGCTGTGACAGTGAAGTCATCCATGCTGATTGCCACGAATGCGGCTGAGGGGGGGTTATTTTGTGGAAGGGTCAGGTGTCTGCTTCAGATTGGTGAAAGCAGTTCTCGGAGAGGAGGCCGAAAACGGGTTGTAGGTATGTGAATCCTGCTTGCGGGGTGCCATAAAGGTTCTTGACAAGTTTTCCCCCTTTACATTCATGCTTGTACGTTCCGTCGAAACGGGGGTGCTGACGGACGTAGACAGGCTTTTCCCTACTGTGGGCGAAGTCCTCGTGGAGGTACGCCGCCTCAATGTCAATGTGTTCAATGAGGAGGTTTTGGGCTGCGGCAATGGCGAATAGCAAGCGTACCGAGGACTTGTCTGCCATGTAGGTTTTAGTACTTTCGGGGTCGTAATGGACGTTTGGTATCATTGTGTCTCCTCGAGCCGCGCAGCGAGGTGTGGTCGGCAAACAGTATTATGGAAGCTGCGAGCGCTAGTCACGTCTCCCTCGCGTCGTTACTTTCGGACGACTACTTCTATTCTGTTGAGTGCACCGAAGCCTTCTCGCTGGCATACTGCAGGGATGTCGAGTCACAGGGTAACGTTATTATTATCCCTTGTTTTGGCCATCATGTGATTTTACGCCACTTGCTAACCCTGTCCTCGGTTTTGTAGACGGTCTCGATATGCCCCTTTAGCCCTGTGCGAGTTTAGTGACGATTTGGCGTCACTATATTTTAGTGACGGTTTTTGTGAAATCTCAATGAGACGGTGGCCAGCCGTCACAAAAAGGCACAAGTTTTGAGAAATCTCAAACGTTTTGTGCCCCTTTTTGAGAAAATAGGAGAGTTCTACAAAATCATCACTATGATGGGCACTCAGTGAGAAATCTACAAAAGTTTAGGGCAATGTTTGAGAACAATGTGAGAGTTCTCAAACATCGTCACTATACGGCATTTTTTCTACTTTTCGTGACGACGACGGAGATTCTCACTGGCTGCTTCAGATCCCTCCGTCGTTGTAGACGGTCTTCTCTCACTCTTGAGATTCTACAAGCGCCTGTAGAGGCTCTAGACGGCAATCTACCGGCTTCCTCTTCTGTGCATTGCGAGATAGCCAATGTCAAGTCGGAATGTCTCAGCTGATGCTCAGCCGTTCTCTGGCGAGGGCTCCATTTCATTGGACCCTCAGCAGCCCTTTTCACCTCAACCCAGTGCGCAGCCCCTTTCATTCCCCATAGATAGCCAGGAGCTCACTCCACTCGACAACAGATGTCAACCCCTATCCGGTCCCGTACAGGAACAGGAATTGCGCTGCATTGAAATAGCGCCTGTGCTCATGAATATTGATAGTAGTCCAAGTTTGTTTCAGGAAATATCTGAGACGCCTCCTCTCTCTATCGTGCCACTGTGCTCAGGAAAATCTTTCTCAGACACTCAAGATAGAAGTACTACGGTGAACAACTCCAGCTATCAAGCTGAGATTAATGGTGATTCTCTCGATGGAAGCGATATACCCTATTCGCAGGAGCAGGATTTTGCAGCGGCTGGCAGTGGATCCTCAGGAGATAGCACGTCGTCCTGCACGGGAGAGGTTGAAGCCACTGTTACCCCTGCTGAACTTCAGCAGTTACAACCTTTGCGTTCATTTATAAGCAACAACGCTAATATAAACTCTGATGCTGGCGCACTTTGTGAGGACTTATGGAGTGGTATATTTCATGACTACGATGAAGAAAGATGTGCTTTAGGAGCTTTACACGCACCAACAAGTACTGTGGACGCACATATGTCTGGTGGAGACATAACCGAGGATCTCCTGGAGGAAAGGGCAGTTAATCATCAGGAGGGGGGGCTTCAAGATTGGACATACGAAAGCCCGTTTGCAGAAGTAGAGGTGATTGTGGATGAAGTGGACTCCGTGTTAGAAGACCGTTTTATTACTGAAGCGAATTCCATTCTAGATAATGTTCTAGAAGAGGTTAACAGCCGGGAGAGCGCCTGCCCGCACGAAACTATGGACTCCATGACTGTTTCGTCCAGAAACGACTGCAGTACACCTCGCCAAGTGAAGCCTTTGTCGAGGCTGTCTGTTTTGAGAACATTTATACTGGACAGTCTGCTGGAGAAGCTCAAAGCCGTCGCCAATAGGGCTCTTCACAGCCGAGGTCAAAAGCTCACAACAGTTCAAGAGTTACTAGGACTTTTGGTATTGCACGTTCTCTGTGCATCGTACAACGAGGGACCTTCTGTTGTCTGTGGCGCTAAAATGAGCGACTTTTTCTTTCATATGGGACTTTCTGCAGCACGCTACCGACAGGTGTGGTCGGCCTTGACGGGTTGTAGGGAGAAGCGCACTGCAGTTGACTATTCAACTACTGGGTGGTGTCGGACTGCTTCACGGACAACATCACTAATAACAGATATTGAGTCTGAGGTGGCTGCTGTCAATAGAGAATTACTGTACATACCGGGGGCCACAGTGCTCTCGTTAGACGATGACCACCTTCGCATGGCTTCTAGAGCTGTTAGTTCCCTGTCGTTCCTGCAGCAACATAACAATCCCAAAAAGGGATTGGGGCCGGTAGGCAATACTCTTGGTTCCGCTCTGACTTCAGTATTCTTTGCATGTCAATTTACTAGAAGGGGGGAAAAGCTTCTTCATACCTGGGAGCGCTTGGCGCAGTTATTACAAGGCGCATCCATCACCGGTGCTCTAAAACCGATGGCCGATGCAATATTTGCCGCTGACCGTGGCTATAATACGAAGGAGACGCTCAACTTCGTCAGTAAGACATTGGGAGCTAGTCTACTGGGAACACACAAACGAGATATGACGTACCCTTTCGTGTTCGGGAGTGGCGCTATAACCCGGCGGTCTAAGGGAATGGTTGTGTCGGAAAAAGGGTGTCGGGCTGTGTACGTTGCAACTTTGAAGTCAAACCTGTCTGTGCGTCGCAGTGGAAGAGAGCTCGAAGCCTGCCTGTATCGGGAAAGTTGCTCCGGACGTATTGCTGCAATGATACACAACAACAGAAGGCTTTTTAAATCACGCAGCTTTACGATTGTTCCTCACAGCAGGTTCAGGGGGCAAGAGCCGCTTTCTGTGCTGGCAGAGGAGCAAGTCATATTCGATGCAGACAGGAGGGTGGCTCTGCCACAAGGAGAACAGTCAGCTAAAGTTCTGAACACGCCGGGTTCTAACCAAGTCGACCAAGCACTGGCTCGGATCAAGATACTTACATTTCACCAGTCAGAAGACCCGGTGTGGTTTCTCCTCCGAGCATTCAGATTTACATCCCGAACGGGCCACTCCTTTTTGGCAACAGTAACTCGTGACTTTGAAAACCATGTATCGTCGCTGGCATGGGCTTTAAGAGGCAAGCAATTAGCAGTAGGAAGTGACACACTGCCGCAAGATCACAGCTCATGTGAGCAGCTATTAAGGGTTAAATGGGAATGTGTCTGCAAATTATTTGGCATGCGACTCGGTGCAGAGCCGCAACCATCAGAACGGCGCGACCTTGCCCTGCGTCTGGAACGCTACTCGCGAAGCAGAATTAATTTATTCAACAGGAATGACCTGCAGCAGATGCTCGGTGGCTTCGCTCGGGGGTTGAGTGGGGCCCCAAGCAAAACAGTGCTAGTCAATGCCGTCTTGCAGCTACAGGCTGATATCGGAGCAGGGACTGTAGAATTAGACGATGATGGGGCTGATAGTGTCTCCCTATCAGCGTCCTTGACGGAACGTGCATCTAAACTCCTACAGAAACTTAGAGAGGCTTCATTACATGCGTGGGTAATGAAGCCCCTCGTTTCTACAGCTGGAATGAAGGAGGGGTCGCGAAATGAGATCGAGGTTCTGAAAGCAATTCCTTCTTTCCTTTCTAAGACACGTGGAGCATATGCTCATACGAGAGGAGTGTTTAATGCAGTTGAATACGCCCATTCGGACATAAGGAAAATTGTGATACGTCATATTCGGTCGGTTGGGCTCGTGGAAAGCAAGAGTAGTACTATGATAGCTGACAGCCCGGATGGTATCCTGGCATGCAAGAATGAAATAGAGGAGTCCTTTGTCTGCGCAGCAGAAATTAAGACAATGACTGCTCTTACGACAGTGAGCGAAGCCACGCATTTAAGGGAGCAATTTGGACCGTTGACTATCCTTTCTGATGTAGGTTCCTGCGGGGCTGCAGATGAGCTCTTCAGAACTTTAATACCATCAACCCAATACCGGGCGCAGTGTCTGCATCATGCTGCCACGTTAGGATTGAAGCATGTGTTGTTCATTGTGGCAAGTAGTGGCAGTGTTACACACGGGCAAATTATCTACGGCTGTTTGATACAGTTCTCGGAATACATTAGACATAGCTACACATTCACTTTGGACTCAGTGCTATCAATGGGGTTTGGTTGGGTGGGAAGGGAGCCTAAATATATACCAAGAGAGTACGACGCATTGCTTAAAGAGTCACACGCCTCTGACATCAATAGCTTTGCGTCGTACTACAGTCTAAGTACGGGTATACGGAGATTAATTGACAAGGATGGAAGACCCATGCCGCCAGCTAGAATGATACGGTTGACCCCAGCGGTCTTCTGGAATCATTTAAAAGGTGGTGTCGATGTAATTTCCCGGTACCTTAAGACGCTGGCGAGATCAAATATATCAGAGAACCCGGTGACTAGCATCATTGCCAGGCTTTTGGTGATGCAAGTTAACAATGCAGCTTTATGCTTTAGACTATTTAAAGCTCGGGAGTTGGGCAAGCTTCCCGCTACGATCCCGATGGAAAACAAAAAAGGATATTCGAAGACAAGACATACCGTGACCGAATGTGAAACATTTGGCACATACGCACGTCTACTGGCAAGGGAGTGGAGAGAATGGCGTAACACAGAGCAGCAGGAGAGAACAGAAGCACAATCAGTTGGACGACATCTAACACCCTACTTTTCTAGAGGTGCCGCCGACAGGTACAACCATGGCGTGCACCAGGAAAGAAGACTGAGCAGGTCTTTAGACCACAAGCCGGTGGTTGGCCAGTCCACCTATTGCGTACTTTGTAGTTGGACACTGCGCATCGTAAGAAATGGAAAAACAGTAACAAAAAGAAAGGGGGCGAAACAGATACAGTGGTGCTCTGTGTGCCTTCAGGCTGTATGCAAAGGTTGTTGGCAAACGTGGCACACAGACGAAGTATTACGAAGGTTGTCTCCGTCTGCAGAAGAAGTTAGAGAATTCAACCAGAATAGAAGAAGCAAGCGTCGTAGAATGACATAAGAGCAACTTGTGCTATGGAGTTTGGTTATTTGCAAACGTAAAGAACATACCTCTTAACTAACCTCTATTCATTTAGAGGCATTGCATATGCTGTACATTTGGATACAAAAGTATCTGTGTAGGTCCACAACGTCAGGCAGTTCTGGCTAAACTATCACAATGGAACTCGGCTGAACGGACGGATCAGTTGTTTGACACGCATTTATTGCAACAAACACCTGAGAGGCTTTGGACTGCATGTTTATGATGCTAAGAGCAGCAAACTGGGTTGGAGTGGAGCTTCAGCGTTTGAGAATTCTCCCTGACTTTGAGAACCTCCCCCACATGAATGAGAAGGTGACCTAATTTCTCTGAACTATCACAATTCTCAATGAGAACAACGATTCTCATTGAGATAAGTAGATTTTGTAGAGCTTTTTTTGTGAATTTTGAGAGCTTTGGACCGACTCTCACATCGGTCCAAGGCGGTTTTTTCAAGAGCGTCTAACTCTGGCAATAGTTAGTCATTCTCCTTAGAGCGAACTCTTATCGGAAGAGGAGGGTTGGGGGCTTCAAGAGCACTTTATTTGAGTCCTTAACTAGCACTTTTGACGGAGTTATGAAAAAAACCCCGACCGGACCGCACTTTGAACCGTCAACAACCGCCGCACAGGGTTAGCTTTCGCTACGTCCTCGTAGCGACCACGCATCCGACCACGCAGTTCCGTTCCGGCTTGTCTTCTTCCCTGCGCGCGCGTACGACCATGCCTCCTAGCTCTTCTCTAAGCCGGCGCTCTGTAAGCCCGCTGTCTCGTCCGATTCGGTAAGCGTGTCCTTCACTTCCCTTCACGGGAAGCCCGCCGAACCCTCAACTCACTCTCCTCACTCTCCTCACTCTCCTGCGCGCGCTGCCTCCTCGTCCCGTGACGCCACCCCCCTACAGTAGCTCCTGCCGCATCCGAGAACGGTCGACCGCCAGAGTCCTGCTGCAGCGCCTTCGTACAGTACGCCGTCGAGCCCTGCGGGGGCTCCGGCGTCGGCGCAAGCGCCTCCCTCGTCCCAACCACGACGTCGCCTCTGCGGAGAGCGGCGATCGGCCCCCGAGTTGGCCGGGCCCGCGCTCGCGTCGGTCGATTCGTCCGATTCGGTCGAGCGACGGCCGCATGGCGCGCACGCAACGCAGCGCTCGCCGCGGCCCTCTGGAGGGCCGGGCGAGGGTCGAAGGACGGCTGTGCCCTGCCCCCCCGCACACGGGCGAGACGGGAGTTCTGTGTGGACGGTCGGGGTAATTTCCCTTTGTCAACCACCCTCCCGGAGGGCTGGCCAATTTGTAAAGAATCTGCGTTCACTTGCCATCCCAAGAGCGGCGCGAGCGGCGCACCCGCCGTAGTACGGCACCACACGGCAGTTTCACGCGTCTCCCTTGCCGTAGCGGACTCTAATGCTCCAACACCGATCCAAAACCCGTACGGAGCGCCCTCTTTCCACCAGCCCGAATTAGAAACTGAAAGAAACGATAAGAAACGGTAAGAAACGGAAAGAAACCGATTTGGTTTCCAAATATGTCCGAATGCGGATTTTTCGAGTTGACACTCCCGGACGCGGAATGCTCCCAGGAGTGCGATTCCGTTCTCGGAAATGGACTACGATTTTTTCCCGCAGCGTGGGAGGGAAAAACGTAGCCCAAATCGCGACTAAATTAAAAAGCCGGCGAACGCGATACATCTCAATACAAAGTACCGGTTCTCGGTACAGTTCTCCATTTCCATAGGCCCGTGCGAGCAGGATCATCCGAACGGTGCGGCCAGGCGTGGCTGATAGCTATCCGCGTGGACGCTTGGGAGAAATTCCGATTGTGGACCACCCTCCCGGAGGGTTGGTCAATTTTGGAAGAATCTGCGTCCATTTGCGCCGGATCCATCCAGTACGAGCTGCCCCGCGGTGCGCAGTCACACGCGGCTGGCTGCCGGGGCTGCATAGCACGTGCGCGGCTTGTTTTCCCCAGAGGCTTTTGCGCGAGCGAGCGTCCGAGCGGTACGACCGAGAGCGGCCGAAACTTGCGCTACGCATGCACGCTTGATCCTTGTTGGCGCGAACGCCAATATCGGTCGATAAACGGCTGCGGAAGCCCATCGGCGGGCTCGTAGGTGTCGTCTGAAGCGATATATCCATACCACCGGACCTTGTAGTCGATCCCGCCGCGCGTAGTACGGTGTCCGACAATGCGGTCAACGACGTACTCCGCTCTTGGCGTTGCGGCTTGTGCGTCCAATTCGGTCGATGTGGCCGGGGTGACGGTATTCCCCGGCCCGCGCGGCATCTTCGTAACGCGGTCGATGCTCACGCGATTTTCCACGCCGTCCTGCTCGATGAGGACCGTGGTGTCCGTAGCGGAGCGCACGCGAAACGGACCCTCTGTCTTCGGTAGTAGTTTGACAGAGAGCTCGTCCGTTCCCGCCGTACCTTGCGCACGCGTGCGGCGCTCGACGCTTGTCAACGGGCGGGGCGGGCGATCGACGTAGACAAAATCGCCCGCCACAATGACCGGACGGAAGCGGACCTTCTTGTCAAATCGTCCTTGTACCGCTTTTGCGATGCGGTTAATTTCGTCCGAGCGCGGTCGAGAGCGTCGCGAAGCTTGCGCAGCGTAGCGCGCTTGTACTGCACCGGGGTCCGCAGGTCCTCTCGATGGGTCCCCGCGTCCTGCGGCACAGTACCAGGGAGGATCAAACCGGACGATGGCCGCGTTAACACCAGGTCGAACGGAGTCGTCTCCGTCGACCGGTGGACCTGCGTATTGTACGCGAAGGTCAGCGGCTGCACGTAGTCGTCCCAATCGCGCTGGTGCTCCTCCACGTAGTGCCGGAGGCGTTGCACCAGCGTGCGATTGAACCGTTCGGTCTGCCCATTCGACTGGGGGTGGTAGGCCGTCGTGAGACAATGCCGCACCCCCAGGAGGGCGCATACCGCGTCGAAGAATTTCGCAGCGAACTGAGGGCCATTGTCGGTTAGTACGTAGCGCGGCGCTCCGTAAACGTAGACCCAGTTGTCCAAAAACGCGTTTGCGACGACCGAAGCGGTTGTGGCGCGGAGCGGGATACTGCGCGTTAGCTTGGAGAACCGGTCGGTAATTACCAACACGTGTTGGTTTCCGTGCGCGGTCTTGGGCAGGGGCCCCAGGACGTCCATCGCGACAAACTCCAAGGGGCCCGCCGCGGGGAACAGCTTGAGATCCTTTTGGTTCTTGACAAGCGTCCCGCGGGTCGCAGCACACGAGGTGCAATTCCGTACGGTCGAAAAACGCGTCGCTGGCCCTGTGTGGCCAGTAGTACTCCCTGCGAAGGGTGTAGTACATACGCGTCGCTCCAGGGTGACCTGCCAACCTCGGATGGTGTGCCAGGTACAGTACCCGGGGGCGCAACCGAGTCGGTACCACGCGCTGCAGGGTCCCGTCCAGCGGGGACGTCCTCACGAGAAATCCGTAACGGTCGATGTCGAACTTCGAGTTCGGCGTCCCGACGGTTTCCGCGGCGAAGCGACAGAAGGCGTCCTCAGCTTGTTCGGGTATAAATTCCTCGACCGAGATGGACGCAGCGTCGCGTTCCTCGGGAGTTATCGCGAGCGTGTGACAACCGTCTGGACGGTCTTGCGGCGGGTCCCAGTGCACATTGTCCAGGAGGGCCTCGCTGCCCTCTTCGTACTGGACCGCGAAGCACGGGACCTCATCATCGACCGGTTCGGTGTCTCCTCCATCGGTACGTAAGCGCGATACGCCGTCCGCGAGTTGGTGCTTGACGCCCGGGCGGTACTGTACCTCGTAGTCGTACTCCGCCAAGCGCAGGCGCCAGCGAGCGAGCCGACCGGAACTGTCCGCTAAATTGAGGACCCAGCGTAGGGCCTCGTGATCCGTGCGAAGGTTGAACGCGCTTCCGTATAGGTACGGCCGTAGGGTGAGGATGCTCCACACTACGGCCAAGCATTCCTTTTCGGTAGTCGTATAATTGCGCTCCGCGTCGGTCAACGCACGACTCCAATATCCGATCGGTCGAGTACTTCCATCGGGTTGCTCCTGTAGAAGGGCGCAACCCACTTGGTGTCCGCACGCGTCGGTGTCCAGCGTATATTTCCGTCCGTAGCGGGGCAGCGCGAGGATTGGCGGCGACACGAGGCGCCGCTTCAATTCCTCAAACGCCGCGTATTCCGCATCGGTTAAGATCTCGAACTCGTAGGCCTGATTCTTGCCGGTCTTCTTATTCAGCGGCGCGGCGATCTTCGCGAATCCTTGCACAAACTGTCGGTAAACGTTGCACATCCCGAGAAAGCATCGCAGTTCCGTTTGGTTCGTAGACGCGCGCGCGCGCTCGATCGCGGTGACGTTGCGTCGCTCGACCTCCAACCGTCCCGGACGGATGACGTGCCCGAGATAGGTTACGGAGGTGTCGAAAAACGCGCACTTCGCCAATTTTAGCGACACGCCCGCGGTATGTAGAAGCCGTAGTACCTCGCGCACGTTCGCCTTATGTTCCTTAACGGTTCGCGAGTAGACGATGACGTCATCGAGGTAGACCAACGCGGTCTCCCATTTCACGCGGGACAGGATGATGTCGACCGCTCGTTGAAATGTCGCGGGCGCGTTTTTGAGACAGAACGGCATGCGTAGAAAGCGGTAGAGGCCCGAATGCGACGCGAACGTAGTTTTATCGCGGTCCCCCTCGGCGATCTCCACCTGCCAATACCCGCTATTACAGTCTAGCGTGGTAAATGCAGTGGCATCGCCGAGCGAGTCGATGCATTCGTCCATGCGCGGTAGTGGGTAGGAGTCGCGAACCGTAACGGCGTTTAGCTTGCGATAGTCCACGCAGAACCGCATGGTCCCGTCCTTTTTAGGGACGAGGACCACGGGGCTCGCCCACTCGGCCGATGTCGGTTCGATGACTCCCGCGCGCAGCATGCGGTCGATTTCCTTCTTCTCCTTCTCGCGCGCGATGGGTCCGGCTCGGTAGGGTGCTTGGTAGATCGGC